CGCTGTGCTCCCCACAATATAATGTACTGAAACAATACCTGCTTTAGAAAGAAAAAATACTAGCAAGGGCTACTAACAGAAGTGAATAAAACAGAATGGCAAACAAACATTTGCTGCAGAAGTATATTTTAGCTAGAGCAGAAAAAACGCTTTTGTTCTCTCTTGACATACATCAGCTCCACTCTAAGAACTGCGCAATATCCATGGTTTAAAAATCAGGTCTAATTTATTTGAATAATCTCAATTAATGTCTGCAATTGTTTGAAGTTAAAAAAGCAGTATTTGCTTAGTGGGATGGTTAAGAACTCTGATCGTGCTTGTTTCTGCATGGCTGTTTAGTTTTTTTTTTGCTTATTGTCATTTTTATTCTTCTTGTATAAACTATGCTTTTTGGAAGCCAAAAAGGAAACTTGCTAAATGCCTATGAATTCAACATCTTTGGGTAGTTTTCTTGTGTGTACATGTAACAGAAAGATGAAGGTGTACAAGAATCAATATTCTGATGGCTACTCAGGGAGGTACAAGCCAACTGCTGGGATGATGATGAAGCTGTACATTGTAGTCATTTATGGAACACCAGGTCTGTTGTTTTTAATTACGAATGCTGCAGAACAGTGAAGCAATTTCTTAACTTCATTAAGTCATAATAGTGTCTGTATTTCTATAACTCTAATGTATGAAAGGTCTGAAACTGAGCATATTGCTAGGGTATATTTTTTTTACCCAATCACCTATCGAGTGCCGACTGGTGGTCTATAAAATATAGGCCTAGCCCTATATGCCTAATCTATCTGAAGGCATGGAAAGGGATCCTTTATTTAGTTACTAAGTAACTACAAGGGATCAGACAAAGCAGCAGTTTTGACAATCCAAATATCAGAAATGTTTACACAACTATTCAAGATGCTTTGTTTTCAAAGCTGCAATGTAGATTACCTCTGCTGCGGTTTACAAGTAATCCAGAAATAAGCACAACATTTTTCTTTAAGACAGTTCACGTGGTGTGTATTTTCCTTCTTGGCTTCTCTAACGAGGATGTGTGTCACATCTAGTAATGTACCATCTAACTAAAACATGAATGTGTTCACCCTTGCAGGCATTTTTGTACGGTTTACTTCTAAAGAGATTCTGTCCAAGTGACTGTCTATGCAATCAGTAGTTTTCCTCCATAACCATTTTCACAAGGCAATGGTGATGATACGATCGGTAGGTTACCATAGACGACCAGAGTCAAGAAAGTAATTACATAGGAGGCAGGAATGGACTGACAGCAGGAGGCACAAAAAAACATCATATTAGCAAGGTGCAGAGTGCAAGGGTTGCAGCTCTTTTCAAATTGCTAATAAACACTGGTTTCTGATTTTACTTTCATTTTGAATTCCAGATAAAGATGCAGAAATTTAAACAATCTAAACATTTTGTTTGCCCCATCTCAGCTACATTTTTCACACCCGTAAAAATCTAAACTGCTCTTTCTAACCCCCCCCCCCTTTTTTTAAAAAAAATCTGCTGCAACACTTGAGAGTGGTATAGAAATAATTGTTAGAATTGTAGGTTGAGACAATGATATGAGAAAAATGTCAGTTTTAATGAGGGCACTGTGCACTGTAGAGAGAAATCTGGTTAGGGATTATCAGCCCATCATGAGGCAGGTCATCGCTGAGCACATTTAAACTACATCCACAGGCGGTCATGATCATAATGATATTGAGCTGGTTACCAGGTACAGTGGCTATCAGATACCTAAGTCACCTAAAGTAATCAGAATGTCTCACTAAACAGTGAACAAAGTTTCAACATGACAGCTGTGGCATGAGTGGGTACTGTACCAAGCATTTATATATGTTCTTATAAAAATATACTGTCTGTATCCTGTCAACTTGGCAGCAAATCTGATGTAATGAATTTGCTGTTTAGCCAGAGTGCTGTGATTTTGATTCTTAAACCCAAGAAATCAGCCTGGCAACCTAACAACCCACTCTGCAATCTCCAACTGCCTGTGCAATTTTTAATGTAAAATGCACTTATGCCTGTGTAATTTTTCAACGCAATATTCACAAATGCCTGCGCAATTTTTTTTAACGTAATATTCACAGGATGCCTAGTTTCTCTCCTTCAAATAAGAATGTAGATTAGACACCTAAGCTCACTGCCCTAAAAAAGAGCAGGGAGGAAAGTAGTATTAGAAGCCAAAAGTTACTGCACGAATTATCAGTTTCGCGAGGGGAATAAGTTCAGGATCAGTTGGACCAAAGATAAACACTTAAACTTTGTAATCAAGCTGTAGCTGGACAGAGTTGAAGTTAAACTGTATACCATCAGCTACTTAATATATTAGTTTTGTTGCTCCCAAATGGTACTTCATTCAACCCACCCTCACCCCCTGCAAGACATTATTCCTCGCATTTCACAATTAATAGGAGGAAAATAAAGACAAATTATTTCAGATCCAATTGTCTAGTAAAAGGAAAAGATCAGATCAATAATGCAATCACAACCAGTAGGAAGCTATCATGTAAGTTTCTAAATGACAATGCTAACATTTTCAACAACAATTAAAATAAATTGTAAAAAATGCTTCAGTAAATGAAAATAGCTTAGTTAACAATCATCAAATAGCTAAAACAAGTTGCACTTATACAAATTAATTTTTAGTTTACAATAAAACATAATTAAATACTGACTCTGAAAAAATGATTAATTGGCAGTTCTAGAGAATCAAAGAAAAGTTTAGTCATTTCACATTAATGATTAGAATCCACATGAAGATATTACATTGTGAATAAAATACTGGGCTGAAAAGAAAAGCATGTGTTAAATCAAATTTACTCTAATGTTTGCAGAGTAAAACAATTTTAAACTTGTGACCAGTGCAAGCAAGATGTGAACGAATGACATATGCACATATAAACAGCTTGGGCCATATGCTCAACTAACAATAGACCTTTAAATTATATAAACAAACAGCACACTAGTACTTCAGTACAAGAAATTAAACACATAAAAAAGAATATGCATTACTATAGGATGGATTGTTATCTCCTTCTGTTAGCATCATAATCATTGTGAAACCAACATTATTATGTAAAACAGCATTTGTATGATGACACTGGCTTGTTGCCATTCTTAACCCAAGATGACTTACACATCTTGAGAAACAAAATTAGTGTTCAATAATTTAAACAGATTTGAAAAACAAAAACAAATAAACGGCATCACATAACAACCAGTACTGCCGAGGCATTGACTTTCCTCCAACTAATCACTCTTAATAAAAGAATAACACAGACAGTTATACTATTAAAATAGATCATATAATAATTTTCTGTGTGAGTCTTAATTCAAGGGAAAATTCAGAGACTAAAAGTTTTCAAAACAGCTTATTTCACTTTGTTTTCAAGTTTTCATAACAGCTTATATCACTTTGTTTTCAAAAACTGCAAATGGAATAGTTAAGTCGGTTTTTAAAAACAGAAAATAACTTTTAATAAATTCACAGAATGTCAATTTGGCTGGAGAATTATAAATGTTAGCTGCAAAGCTAACTTCAGATATAAAGATCACGATATACAGTTGATTACGCTACCCAGTGTTCTTTACCATATATTAGCTAAGAATATATAACTATTCTTCAAACAACACAAGAACATGAAAAAGGACTTCAAGACAATTATAATACAGATCTTGTGAAAGTTGTCAAGAATGCAGCACTATAAAGAAACGCAGAATTATAATAGCACTCCAATAAATATTTGCATATGTTAGAAGTCACTTTATAAGAAGTGATTTGGAACTGTGAGACATCAGGAAAAGATAAGAACTAGTACACAAGAGACACCAAGTTAATGTTTAATTATTTTTTTTTAAAGATTGAGTTTTCTGTGTCAATTAAGAAAGTGTATACTAACATCTTGATGGTACCTTCCTTATTTCTGGCAGAACAATACAGACAAGTGACTGCTGTAATTAAATTGTGTTCAATTATTCTTTTGCTGGTGTAATCATGTAGGTTTTCAACTGAAAACAAGAAACTGACATTTTTTGTATATCAACGTATAAAGCATCATCCCCACAAACAGGTAGCACCATCTTCCTGCAGACTGTCTATTCTAAATTGTACGCAGTTAAAAGTCCCATTTACAGTGTCACTGTGGCATGTTGGAGGTATAAAAGTCCCATTTACAGTGTCACTGTGGCATGTTGGAGGTATAAAAGTCCCATTTACAGTGTCACTGTGGTATGTTGGAGGTATAAAAGTCCCATTTACAGTGTCACTGTGGCATGTTGGAGGTATAAAAGTCCCATTTACAGTGTCACTGTGGCATGTTGGAGGTATAAAAGTCCCATTTACAGTGTCACTGTGGCATGTTGGAGGTATAAAAGTCCCATTTACAGTGTCACTGTGGCATGTTGGAGGTACCGTTTTTTTGCCCATATTTGGTGGACTTGATGGGAGGCATGGTCAACAGGGCAGTAGTCATAGTTTCCAGAAACATTTCAAAACTTCAAGAAGATCTTGCTCTTCAGGGGGTAACAGACCAGATGGTGGAACCAGCACAATATTACAAGAGTATTCTTTCAGAACAAGATGGAGTTAACTGCAGTTAATAAATGCAGATAACATGAACATAAATTAATTTCTATCTTCTCAAACAAATCCTAGTTGTATTTCATATTTTTAAAATAATGAAACAAAGTGATACTCTCTATGAAAGCCAATGCCTTTCTGACTGATTGCCTTCTAATCCTTTAAAAAATAATATGGTTTTTATTTACAAGCACAGCGGAACAGTGAAATGAAATTTGGTTCACAGTAGTAAAAATAAATTTTTTCCCACAATGCATATAGCAACGTTATTTTCAGTTGATACAAATGAGTTTTTTTTTTTTAACATCAACTGATCTATCATCTGTATTAAATTCTGAAACGTTAAAGTTGCATTATTTTTTAAAGGATTAGGGTCCCTACAGCACTTGCTTACAAGACAATGATGACTTACCCTCTCTTTGAGCACTGATTTCTCTTCCTTCTCCCTTTTGCGAAGCTCGCTTATGTAGTCCAGAAACATAGACTCTCGGTCACGCATCTTATCGATACCCCTGAAGCGTTCATCTTTTCCGTATTTGGCAGCAAAGTCACTGAATGACATCCTTAAAGAGATAAAAAGTGAAACATAAAATTATAATTCGCTGTGTTTAGACATTCTTCTTGTTTTAAAGTACATTAAGCAGTGTGGCGTTGGCAGTCATGTCTATCCACAACTTTCTGTCTCTTGTACTTTCAATAAACTCTGACACAGATGATCCTCCATGCTATGATGTCAAACTGTCAAGTAGCTTCCCTCTGCTTCTCTTCCCCTGCGACTTTCCCAACGTCCTCATGTAATTTAGTTTTCTCCTTCTCATGACATGTGCAAAGAATGTAGACTGTATCCTTCTGATGTGGACAATCATTTCTTTTCGAGGTTCAGTTTCTTTCAAGGCATCCTCATTACTCTCTTCATCTGTTCAGGGTATTATCATCATTTGTCTATAATGCTACAATCAACCAACCATCCATGATTCACTACAAAAAAGACAATTCACTATATGATTATTATTTCCAAGTGGGTTCCAGCCCTATGGTGCATGTGTAGCAGGGGGTTGGGGGTAGATTCACTGGCTCCCTAACATGCATGTCAAAAAAATAAAAGGCTAGTAACTAGGCTCAGTTGAATGAAATTTGATATGTTGGTAAATATATTGCAGCCTAGTTGTAAAGACAAAACTGCCTTCACAATTTTGCCCCCAGAAGCAGCAAAACCAACGCTTTCGGTTGGGTCCAATTCTCATAAATGTTTGCAGTAACCTGTTTTCAAAATTGTTTGCAGTAACCTGTTTACAAGAAGCATAGTTAATGCCACTGGCTACATTAACAATAACCATGGGGGTATGGGGATTCCCTTTGAGCCAGATAGCTTTTTTTTAAAGCTGTTCGTGTTTACTGATTACTCCCTTCATATGCCTTTACATACTCCGCACACACAAATTACAATGTAGATATACACAAGTGGCTAGTGTAAAATTATTGTTTGCATGTGGATTCTTTTCTGGAATTCTAATGGAGTCATGACCTATTTTGTTTTTTAAAGCATTCCTGGAGCGAAAGGATTAGGGGGCATGCAGAATACATGTTTATTAATCTATTTACAGCAGATATATCTTAAAATCTTTTGTGTCATGCTTTTTTTTTAAATTTCCAAACTGTTATTTTAGCAGCTTCTATCCTATAGTTGTATTATTTCAGATTGACATTCTAAGGCATAACAACTGTGCAACAGATATGAAATAACAACAGACAGACTAAAACAGTTTGCATTATGGCTTGACTATGTAAAACCAACTTATTAGGTATAACATGAGCTGATTCACAACAATTTATATTAATAAATTCCATAATTTTGAGGAGGAAATGGAGGACAAAAAACAATAAATAACAGAAAATAAAACAGGAATGCTAGCAATATAGAAGAACCTTGTAACTAGGGCTGTACAAAATAGTGATTTTCACTATTGGGCCGAATATGAATAGCGGGACCAACTATTCGGTCAAATAGAAACACAAATAGTGTATCATCATCATCAGGTGCCTTGCCGACTGGCGTGGGTGATTTTGCCTCGCTACAATCTGTGATTTTCTGCAGCATGTATTAGTTCGTGAGCTGACACACTTCCATGCCATGCAACAAGACTGTCAAGAATCTTCTCTCGTTGTCTTCCTCTATCCCTCCTTCCACAGATCTTTCCAGTGGTCACATGTTCCATTTCCCCTCTTCTCATAACATGGCCAAAAAATTATGTCTGTCTTTTTCTGGTGTCTGTGATTAGTTGTCTAGTTCTTTCAAAACCTCTTGGTTGCTTTTTTTTGGCTGACCAAGGTATTTTAAGCATTGTTCTGTAAAACCAAATATCTCAGGCCTCAAGAAATTGTTTGGCCTGTCTACCGACAGTCTAGGACTCACAACACATTGCCTTTAAATATAAGTGCTCACTTGACGAGGCTAACAGTTACTATTGTACAGACATTTTCCACTTTAAATTTCAGCCAAAATGTAATCACAACCTTACTTATCTGCTGCACCTTCATAAAATACTGATGGTGGGCGGTCATACCCGAGGTAAATACAAATGCAGTTATTAGCATGCTTCGGTTGGCATTTTATGCGGTATGATACACTTTGTGTGTGAAACAAGGAAAACAACTTTTCAGCAATTTAAATTTAAACTTTTAAGTACTTTTATGACTTTTTAAATAATGTCACAATTTATAGCCGATTTTTCTTGATTTTCGCTGCGGCACCCCTGGCATACACACTCAGTTTGAGAACCTCTGTTGTAATGCCTCAGTCGAGTCAGCAGGCAAAGACCTTGCCAGCTGTTGTACCACGCAACCGGGTCGCAGTTTCCCCACGCTGCGACAGACTTAGGCAACAGCAACTATTAAGTTAATGAGAGAGATATTTCAGCCCATCGCAGTGTGTGCAGAAACGGGTGTAAGGTAACCAATATTCGTATTCGCCCTGAATGCAAGTATTCGGCCGTATACCGAATAATTAGGTCCACTATTCGGCCCTGAAGGAAATATTCGGTACAGCCCTACTGTAACACATACCTAAAGACTCCTGCAAATTTAAAAAAAGCTACCAAATGATAACGCAACGAAGAAGGCAAGACACAAAAATGAGATTTGCACTGACATAAACACTCTTCACATTCCTAGTATTTGTACATATGAATATAATGAAAGGTGAACTATGTAATTAGGAGACAAATAAAATGCTAATGACATAAGCATAAAATCTATACATATTAAACAAGGTGCTTCTATTGCTGCAGGCAGCAAACTGTCTCCATAACTAGATGTATATGTTGTGTATTAGTGAATGATTTCAGCAAACATTTTTATGTACATTATAAATGTTTTTTACAGTACAAATTTACAAACTGCTAGTAGATGTGGAATATGATATTAAAACCTCACAAGTTAAAACAGATAGTAGTAGTCAATTAGGTTCCAAGAGATATAGAAGCAATACTACTTACTTTCCATTTAATTTGCTCTCTTCCAATAGTTGTCTGAACGATTCCTTCTTCTCCTTGATTCTCCTGTGCTTTTCACGACGTTCTTCCTCAGCTCGCTCCTTCACATACAGCTCAAAAGCTTGCTTGCGTTCTCGAGAGGTGAGCAACAAATAGCGCTGATCAAAAACAATCTTGTGCAACTCTTTCTCCCAAGTGGAGTAGGCAGAAACCTGTAGAAAATAAAAGTGAAGACGTTGTTTGCTACAGTAACACTCACTCACGCTAGTTGAGCAGAAAATTGAACAGTCTAAGAGCTTTCATAAACAATTACAGCTCATGTATCAATATAAGCATAAATTAGGACACATGAAAAATGCAGAAATTCACTGTTAAAACACACTAGGTAACAAAACAGAAACAAACGTCATAAAGAAGAGCAAAACAAAACTGGACACAGGAGATGTTGGAAATATTAATGGGAAAAGATGCTATCAGACACTTTCTGATTCAGCGAAATTCTAGAATTTACTAATTAATTTCATCATTACCCTTTTTTTTAAACTAATTCTACAGAAATACATAATCATACCATTTTGATTAACTGCTAATTTTTAAACCCCATTTTACAAAATTCGGTTTGCATATACAGAAAAAGAATGAAGACTTTTCTTCAAAGATGACGAGATTCTTCAAGTTTAAAGATAATTTAAAAGAGACAAATTTAATTGTACTAGGATATCTCCCACATCTCTTTCTCAGCAGAATGGATGCTTGTCCGCCAAGGGAGCGCACAAACTAAGAACTCAACAACCCTTAAGATGACACTGACATAAAAAATAATAATAATAAATCTATGACACCTGCTGTTACCAAACATATTTATATGTTTTTAATTTATATAATTGTAATTTATATGAATTATTTCATTATTCCTCTGCCCATAATAAAGACCAGAATGTTAAGTGTTCTGACAACCTACCTCTTTCTCAGCAAGCATATCTCTGAACTGTTTCATCCGTGTGTCCAGTGGAACAATGGCTCTCTGGCGAGCAGCCTGAACTTCAGCTTCAATAGCAGCTTCCTTGCCCACATCAATCTGCTTGGAACCAGCATCACTTTTGTCATCTTTTACCTCAGGATCTTGCCTAAGGTGTGGGGAGAAATTCCAGTTTTTAAATCCGAAAAAAAAAGGGCTGCTAATAGTACAACATAAATATTATTAGCAAGCATTCTTACAATATGATCACGGACAAAAGAAATATGTCTATGCTTTGTCTACTTACGATTCATCTTGCTTAACAATGATTGCACACACGTCTTCGGTGATCCAGAAAACCTACAAGCTTTGCATGCCCGTGGAAGTGCCCTTTTTACTTGCAATAATAAAAAAGGTTGAATATTCATTCCAAGAATAAAACCCATTATATAACCAAAGTTAAACAGAAGATACAATGTTTCTTAGCTACATTTACAACATAGGATATATTTTCCTCTCACATTTGTAAACTGGTTCTTCAATACAAGCATTAACTGTATGTCAATTTTAACTAAGAACCTCTAAACTGTTGTGATTATGATCCAAAATGATGCCATCATTATAATAACTAGAAACAATAATCTGATTATAGATAAGATATGAACTCATCACAGCTCGAGAAACAATCTAAATTTAAAATTTCTCTCATTTTGCTTATTAACCACACCCAAAAAAATTTTATAGGCTTATTTATACATATTATTAGTCAAAAAACATACTTTTTCTTCTTGGCAGCTGGCTCTTCATCCTCCTCTTTTTCTTCTTTCTTTTCTGAAACCGAACACACACCAGATATTTTACAAAAGATATCCTAAGAAAAACATCCCCTAACTGTGGTTCATCTCTTAAAGGGGCGGAATTTTGCCCACCATCCTAGAATGCTGTCATTGTCTAGTAAACAGATATCTGACTCTTGTCCAGTCTAACTGTTGAGCTCTTATCAAGTTACAAACTGTTTCTAGTCTACGTTGCTGTCATAACTTTATACACACTGACTGTAAAAGTCCATAGCGACAGAGGTAAGGTAAATACAACCATTTAAAGATAAATGCAGGATTGTGAATCCCCCCCCCTTTTTTTTAAAGAAAGATATACAGAAACCATTAGTTATTAACCTTTTGGCTCAATACTATGGATATCGCAACCCTTTTGCCTTGTTTCCACGAAAGATACGGTAAATCTGGGAGAAATGTGGCTTTTCCGCCTACCCTGGACGTGAAACCGAACCACAAGGAGTTCGTCACTTGTCGCTCAGTCAGGTTTAACTGAGCTGGCGAGCTAGGCGGACATACATACGCCCACAAATGATCAAGTAACATATTAGGCACTTATAATAATTCGTCAGACAATAGAAAAAAGCTGTCATTATCATGAGGCATGAGGACTGACACAGTGGTCCTGTTCCTCCACTATATTGCCTCTTGTGTTCTTGATGTGTTCTACTGCCGTTTTTATGCCACTTTAAATGTTATCTTCTGCTGAATTTTACTTCTAGCAGCCCCAGTCTTTGCTGATTGTCACAACCATTATCTAAACCTCTCATAGTGTAATGGGAAAAGTGGGGGACACACACACACACACCTCATGATTAATTCAAAATGTGTGTGTTATTTGGTTTCCTTAATCAGGGATAAGATTTTTATCATTCTATGGAGACGCTATATCTAGTTTCTCTACTCCAGTGGCTCTAAACCTTCCTAATGCTGCAAGCCTTTAATTCAGTTACCTCATGTTGTGGTGACCCAAAACAAGTATTTTCCTTCATAACTTCACAAAATATGTGTTTTCTGATGGTCTTAGGAGACCCCGGTGAAAGGGTCCTTCAACCCAAAAGATGGTAGCGTCCAGCAGGCTGAGAACCGCTGCTCCAGTCAATCTACATTAGTAACAAGCAAGCTGTGGTATATAATAGGCATAAATGCCCCATCTTTTATTATTTGCAAGTCTCTGCTTCAGTTTTTCTAATTCCAAGTGGGTTTTTTTGTCTGTCCTTCTGTTGATTCTGTTGGTTTTAGTGCAGGGACATTCTATCTATAGTGTTATGTTTTCTGAGAGCCCATCTGTTTGCACAAATTGTGAAAAGCGTGCTGTGCTAGAGAATGTACAACTGCACACTGTACATACTATCTCAATATACTCACCAACTTTTACTTCTGGCTTAGATGATAACAATTTATCGACATCAGGTCGATTCTGAAGTTCCTCTGGTTTCTCCCAAACAGAAAGTCTCTGGCTTGGATTGTAGAAGAAGCACCTGCCATCACCTGTCCATACGACACACCTGGTGAAACAGAGATGTCAGAGTAAATTTACTACTTGTTCAATTTTCTGTTGCCACCTTTTTTTTTTATAATCCTAAGGGTTTGGAAAAGGGTCCTTTGGTTTTACCTTTTTATAATAAATAACATAAGTGTTTTTACAACTAGAGAGGATTGCTAGACATGTCCAGTTTGTGTGTGTGATCAAAATGTGGCCTTTGTGTTTTATGCTTCTGGCTGTACAGTTTCCACTGTGCAAAACATAATCTTTCTTCTTATTCCATGTTGTGTGATGTTGATCACGTCATATCCACAGCCTTCTGTTCTGAGTACTGTCAGTCCTTTACCATTCAGCTGTTCATCCATGCCACAAAGCCAGAATTTAAGTACCTTCTATCTTGTCTCGCCTTGCTCCTCCAAATTTCCAGATGTCGGTAAGTAGGTTATCTCTTCTCAAAACACAACATGACAAATCAACTTCCTATGACCATACACATTTACTAGCATTCATTTCAGGTGCCAACAGTTCTGCCATACACCTTGTATCCCTCTCTTCCACTCTGTTTTCCGTTTCTGTAGCTGTTTTTTTTTTTTGGTAACTTTAAATACTACAAACTGTTCCCAGACCCTATAACTCAGTGCATCATCAGGTTATCAATTTAAAATTTAAAAAAAATAAAAAGTGCTAATGCAATTCCAGAAAAACAGATGTACATATGAAGATTTAAAAGATATTTTAATTTACCATGGTGTGCCAGGTACTGGAGTACTTGAGACAGGCTTCGCCCTTTCAGCTGCCTTCTGTTCTTCTGTCATTTCCTCCTGCTTTTCTTCCTTCTCCTATGAGAAGATCCATACATATTCAGTTAATGTGTTTACGCAAAAACAACCAACAACAACAACAAAACAATAAATTGTTCTCAGTTACTTGTTATTATTTTGAAATCAAAAAAATTTTTACTGAAAAAGCTTAAAGAAAAATTTTAAGTAGATCACAAAATAAACATTCTCTTTACAACTATTTCCCCCCCCCCCCCCCTCCTGTTATGAAAGATGTTGCACTGATTATGTTTACATCACATCTACTATGTTTGATCTCTTAACTACAAAAATCTGATTTCAATGTAAAATGATCCGCTAAGATTTCTCAGGGACTTTTATTTAACATCCTGTTATGTTTACGTGGTGCTAATGTCTGATTATAGTTTATAAGCGTACCCACCATCTAATATGAATGGAGTTTATTCCTAGAGAAACAACATGTGGAAATGTCCACCTATCTAAACTAAAGAAGGTTTCATTAATGCAGACTCATTGGTTGATGCCCTGGATCAGACTCATTCAAGGGATGTGCTGCCCAAAAATTGGTCTTTCAAAAAAAATAAGCTGCAACTTTTCAGGCACTAACAGGACACAGCTTTTAACACATAAGGGTTGAGCTGACTTGCCACACACACACACAAAAGCAAGTTGAAAAGTACAGCTTTAATAGGTAAAATTAGGATCCATTAAAGACGTGCCAGGAATCAGTTAATGTACAACATAAACAACCTGTGATGAAAGATCTGATTGCTGACAATAAAGTGTACATTAACAGAAAAGTAGCATATAATTGTAACATTAAAAAGGCCTCGACCATTGCACAAAGCATGATTATATCATCATATAACATCATGTGCTGTCTGTCTCTAGAACCAGGGTCTTGGGAAAATAATTTCTGCTATGGTGGTGAAAGACAACATGACATCATATGAAAAGTAAACATCTCAAAAGAATAATCTGACTGGTCTACTTATGCATCAACTAATATAATGCATGAATCACATTATTTGATAAGCTCCAAATATATTGCTTCAGCTTATCACCTACAGCTGCTCTGTTGATAACCAAAAGTTATATACCTTTCTATTACTAACATCTAACGAAGACTAAGATCCTATATACATTTGTACACCCTAAACCAATGTTCTGCCTCTCCCTTCCCAAACCCTCTTTAATGGCCTTTTACAACATGCATGGTAAGCCAGTATTACTATTCTTTACCTAATCTGAGACACCAGTATAGCAGTGACACAATCTTACAAAACGTAAACTTAAATGAAATTATGGCACATAAAACAAAGCTTAATGGTGAAAATATCCAAATCTGGGTTTATTACCTCAACGTCCTCACCAGCAGAGTCATCAGATGTGTCAGCAGATTCTGTTTTTACCGCTTCTGTTGCTGCCTTTTCTGGTGTTTGTGACTGTGCTGGCTGAGTGCTTGGGTTCTGTAGTGCCTCAATTTTAGCTGTAGACCCAAATTCCATGAATAATACATTTTGACGATTAATTAATTGCATGTAATTTGCAAAAAAATATACACTTACAAACACATTATATGTCTAAATTCATCACCTAAACTTCCTAATCAAGCTATAGCTGGACGTAGTTGAAGTTAAACTGTATACCATCAGCTACTTAAAAATATATTAGTTTTGTTGCACCAAATGGTACTTCACTACAACCCACCCTCACCCCCTGCAAGACATTATTCCTCGCATTTCACAATTAATAGGAGGAAAATAAAGACAAATTATTTTAGATCCAATTGTCTAGTAAAAGTAGAAATCAAATCAATAATGCAATCACAACCAGTATGAAGCTATCATTAAGTTTTTAAATGACAATGCTAACATTTTCCAAATTAAAAAAAATTGTAAAAAATGCTTGAGTAAATGA